GGTGTCAGTTTTCTTCAAGCTAGGAGACTGTGAGCTTTATGTGTCTCCCCAGGGAGCAGCGTGACGGAAAGGAAGGCTGGACAAGGGCTGCCTGGGTTTGGAGCCTGTCCTGGAGTACACGGTTCTGAGCTCCTGTACACCAGCCGAGGTTTTGAAAGTTAAGCTCAGCTCTGGAATTGGGGCTCAGCAAAATGTTCCTAAGCCCAGAGTTCAAGGGTCCCAGAGGACTCTGCAGACACTAATATACACTCATGACTTAAAGACAAATGGAACACAACTACCAAAAAAGAGTTATTTATTTTAAAAAAAAAAAAAAAAAACCTATGGAAGTAAGCAATACAGAACTGACCTGTTAATACCAATCAGTTACAATGGACAAAGGCTGAGAAATTAGGTAATGAAATGCATCCAGGCTGCCTGAAGGAAGTTTTATAACAAACAGTAACAAAACCTAAGTCATAATATGCACTTTAAAAGACACAATTCTTGTGACTTCTTAAAAAAAGAAGACAAACTGAATAACCTTAAAAGATATGGGCCTCATGGTAAGTTGAGAGGAAGACCCCATTTAATGCTTTGCATATTGAATCTTTTCGGAAGCTGGGCATCTTGTAATAGGACCATGATGCTTATTTTACAGACAGTGAAAATGAGAGCAAGTAACTCACCCAATATCACATATGGAGGGAGCACTGGATGAGGCTCTAAAGGAGAATCAGCTGACCTCTGCAGCTCCTCCCCCACTCAGTGCATACAGGCATGCGTAAGCAAAAACACATGTGTGCCTGTGTGCACCACACAGGCTAAAAATCCCATGTCTAAGCCCACAGAGCACCTGATCAGGCCTCCCAGATACAGCAGTCTATTTCGAGCCTTTACTTGGGACTACATTTCAAAGCTAACTCCAGCACTGTCAAGAAAAATCCATGGGGACATGGATTTTGACACCTCTTCTGCACCCTCCTTCCTTCTCTTCCCGCCTCTCCTAAGCTGGATTGGAAGGTGTTCGGGACCTGTCCAGCCTAGCAGCCAGCGCCGTCCCACTCCAGGGACACAGCCACATGCGTCTGCTGAGCAGTAGGAATGGGTCGAGGCCCCTCTGCTGACCCTCAGCCACATGCCAGCTGGGAGTGACTGTCCTCCCAGGACAGGTACCCGTCATACCTAGCACCTAGATATGCTTACACCTGCTCTGTGCACAGTAACCTATGGCAGACTTTATCGCATTCAAGCGTCACTAACACCAACAAAGCCACAACATGCTTGTATCCTCGCCGTGTCCACAGAGTGCCCAAAGGCAGCATCACTTTTAACCCAGCGGCCCAGCACACTAAATGAACAAGACCCCAGGGCAACTGACAGCGACCCTGACAACGGAAAGCCATGTGCAGGTGGATACAATGGGGACTGTATGAAGTCAGAGAGGACCGGTCTTTTGAGTCGGCTGTTAGTCTACTGGCTACTCGGGGATGCCATCATGTTTAACAATGTGGCTGCCCGGCCCCCAGCCACAGCTCTGTAGGTAAAGTGTTTCCTGTGTGAGACTCCCAGAACCCAGGTAGGAAAGCATGGCACTGAGAGCTGCTAATCCTGGAACTGGGGAGGCAAAGATAGGAGGATCCCTGGGGCTCTCCAGTCACATAGCTTAGCCTAATCAGAAAGTTCCAGGTAAAGTGAGAGATGGATCACATCTGAGGCATGACAGCTGAGTTTTACCTCTGGCCTACACACAGGCACATGCACACGCACACACACACACACACACACACACACACACACACACACACACACCTGTATTTTTTTTTAAGCCTGAAGCAAAACCAGATCAAACCAAAGCCACACACGTGATTTTGTTTCACAGGTGCGGACCGAGCACCTGTGTTCTTGTTAACACTCTTCTTCATCATTGTTGGTCCGAGCCCGTAAAGGTTGGGGAGGTGAACAAAGTGTCCCCGTGGTGCTGCTTTAGCAGCCTGTAGTTCCCGAGAGAGAAAGAGCATCAAGAATGTTGTCACAGACTCTGAGGGATGACACCAAACTCTTGTGAAGGAGAGTGTCACACCCAAGTCTTTCCCCAGGAGATACAGGTAAAGATAGCTGAGAAGAAATGAGAATTATTTAAAAAAAAATACCCGAGACCAGAGTCTGGTTATTAAATGGAAACAGTCAGGGAAGATGGGCGCTCTGAGACTAAGACAACCAGTCCTTAATTGTATCTCCTTCACCCGCCACACGCACGTTTCCAATTCATGTTCTTGTCTCAGTGAATCTGTAACAAGTACTCAGCTACTTCAAAAGTAGCTTAAGGAAAGGTGGGTTTATTCGGACTCCCAGACCCAGGGTACAGTCCATAACCGCAGGGAAAGAACTCGAGGTACATGACAGCCTGTCCTCTGTCAGGAAGCAGGGATGAATTCTGGGTGCTCAGCTGACTTTCTGCTCTAACTGGGTCTGGGGCCCCAGTTTGTGGAATGTTGCCAGCCCCATTCAGGGTGAGTCTTAGCACTGAGCTGATGCAATCTGGACACTCCTGTACAGACTCAGCAGTGGCCATGGAGCAAGTGGGAGCGGGGTCTCTGCTCCCTGTCTCGTGGCACTGACGGACACAACAGTGAAAACAGCTCGGCCACCTGGCAGAACTGGTAAAGAAAATGCTCTTTTCAAAATCCAGTGTTTGTCTGTGTGATACCGAAACAGCCAATCAGAGAGGGCTGGCAGTGTACGCTCACTGCAGAGACCCACGCCTGGGAATTGCTGACAGCTGAGAGCCTCTCACTAGCTAGCTTAACCGAGAGAAGGCACTGAGCTGCTGGCTCCTGGCAGCCTCTCTCCCGCCATCAAATGGACTTCTCACTGGACTCTGTTCATGATCCTCCCGGGAAGAAAGAAAGCAACAAAGGGTCTCTTGTTCTGGGTTTTGTTGGTTGTATCTTGTAACACTTGGGACTTCCACAAAGAATAGGCAAAGTTTATGTTCTTGACAAAAGCCACAGAACAAAGTTACTGCAAGCCTGTTTGTCTGGTTCCTTTAATTCAGAATTCTCAGTCAGACCATGAGTTGTCAGTTGTCAGTACTGTACAAAGAAATTAAAAGAGGTGGTTAAAATATTCACATGGTCCAAAACTGTCTGCTCTCACTGGATGCATAAAGCAGCTTCCCTGCGCAAACACCTTCTGCTGTGTCTGATGCCAAAACTTTGGACTTTGACCTCAGCCACGGCTGTACAAGTTGTAAGTCTTGGTGGCCCCTTATTATTGAGTAGAACCACCCTTCATAAAAGTATGAAACCATACAACTAAGCATTAGGCTCATACCCTGGCGAGACCTGGGACATTACTACAGTCATCAGGCAGCTGCTTCCTCCCTCTCCTTGAGCCCTCTTTTTTCCTTTGAAAGCTCACTTGGTCTGGCTGGAAGCCTTCATAAAGGGTGTCAAGGATCCGGGATAGTAGAGAAAAAGGCAGAGCATTCCTCCCTGGGTTTCTGCCTTGTGAATGAGAAGACTCCCATTGGACAGGAAGTGCAAGCTCTGAATTCACAGCAGCACGCTGCTGTTTTACCCCAGGCTCCTGGGGACTAGCACCAGTGGCCACAGACTCAAAAGCCAACCCTATGCTTCTCACTGGGTTTACCAAAGAAAGCTAGGATGGCTGCAAGCCTCCAGCCTCTGGTCCCACAGCCTGGGTAGACGCCACCATTGGTGCATATGTGGATCGGGACCGACCCCAGTTCAAGGCCCTGTACAGGCACACTGCGCTATCAGTGTAGCATCCCAGGAATGCAGCGAGCCTGTTCAACTACTGTGAAACCACAGAAGCAGCAGGCTGCTGGATGCAGGTGCTGGTGGCTGACGGGAGGCAGCCATGTCTTTGGGGGTGTTCGGACCCCATCTGTGCACAGTTGGTCAAAGAGAAAAGTGAACCCCAAGAACACAGGAGCCTGGTTAGGAGTTAACAAGTATGTCCTGGGGTACTCTTCAGGTGAGCTGATGCTTAAGAGGCTAGAAGACTAAGAACCACAGCAGGCTGTCTAATAAGGGCCCACTGTCGCCCCAGTGTCGCCCACTTCTGGTGACAAGCCACAGGCTCTTAGATCTATGCTCATTTCGATTGTGACACCTCTTTTTTCATCTCTCACAGTCTAGCAGGCAGGTCCACTGCTCAGCATTCATGCTGCACGTGGCTCAGGATGGCTATAGATCTGGCCCAACGTGAAAGCATAAAGTTACTGAAAACATTATAAGGGGCTTTTATTTTCCATTCTTTGTTTCACTCAGTTATGTGGTTTTCAAGAGTGAACTTTGTAGATGAGAACATCTTGTCACGGTCAAATGGTTGGACATACCTGTCTTCTCGGAGTTGTCTCAGGCACCTTAAGATGGTCCTATGGCCCATGGCAGGACCCAGTCTTCAGTCCTTCAGAACACACACAGTCCTTTTGAGATGGTGGTCCTGACCTCTGACCCCCACACACACCTGCTTCCCAAGCTATAATAATGCATGAAATTGCAGGAATTCAGTAATTGCTCCCAAATAAGCACCATACTTGGCTTTTTAATTTTTGTTTGTAGTGGTATTGTGAACATATAATAGGCGAATATTTATCTCTATGACTCTCAAAGAAAACCCAGAAGTTGCACTGGAAGTGCCCCCGTGAGGAAGCTGTTTCTTCTGTCTGAATGGATGCGCTCCTCCCAAAGGGATCCTTCCGCAGTATCTCATGGGTGCAGGGAGGCTGCCTTTCAGCTTCACAAATTGAACCAGTTCAGAAGCAGAGGGCACCCTGCACCGCCAAAGGGATACTGGCTCCCTGATGTGCTGTCTACCAAAGCTGTAACACCCCAGCTCTGTTCTATGAAAGTGCCCACCCTTGCTTGTGGACAATACATCTTGACTGGCATCAGAAATGCCCCCACCAACTCGTGTGCCCTTGGCAAGCCTATTAGGAGACAGATCTTCCGCTGAGCCTCTAACCTGGTGTCTCTTTCCATCTCACACAGGGACGGATCTGCAGAAAAGCCGGCAAGTCAAAAAAGTCCTTCAGCCGCAAGGAAGCTGAAGCAACCTTTAAGAGTTTGGTGAAGACACATGAGAAATACGGCTGGGTCACCCCACCCGTATCTGACGGCTGATGCCTGCACGCACCCCAGACGCTTGAGCCGCCCGTCCACACTCCACCCTGCCATCTCCTCCCACCGCTGCGCATCTTCTACCCTTTTCTACTCCAGCCAGAGCTGTGTCCTGAATGCAAAGGACACACTTAAGTTATTTATGAACTGATGTGTTTACAGAGAGAAAGAGCAAACTGTTCAGGATTACGTTTCCATAATAAATGACCATCTCTAAGTCACTTTAGAACCAATGTCGAGATGATGCCGGTCCCCAGCCCCCCTGTGGCATTGCCCTTAGCTTCTTTCCATGACAGCAGCTCTGAGCAGCCGGCGGGAACTCAATGCCCTGCCCGCTCCATTTCCACGTGCAAGGCGCTGTTCCCAAGCCAGGGGCACCGCACACCACTGGGCTCCGCCGGTCCCTGTTTGCTGTGCTCTGTATCTGTCTCTCTTCCTGGCAGGTCAACATAACTTGAAGACGTTATCTTTCTTTCTGTGGCCTGTGGTCTGCTGTGATGACACTTAGACCTCATTCATGCTATGACCTTTGGCTCATGAAAACACACACTAACATTGCCGGGTTCTAGTGCTGGCTTAAAACCACAAACTGCCCACTTGATTAAAACGTGTTCCCGCGCTCATCTTGCGCTGTGAGGCCCTTCCCAGATAAACCAGTGCCACTTAATGAGAGGCAGAGGGTGCTGCAGCCACCAGGGGGGCTCAGAGCAGCAGACGGCCAGAGGGAACATTCTCTTCAGACATGAGGGAATGCTCCAAAAGTGCATCTGTGTCCATCTCCTCTCAGCCACCAAAAGACAATTTCCCATTTGCTGAGGTCATTAGACTAATCTGTCTTCCGTGCTAGTGACAGGAGACACCAGAACTGCCAAAGGACACCAAGTGACACCAGGAGGACTTGCATGATCCGGTCTGTTACTTCACCCACTAGTCACTTGTGTGTCCCTGAGGTTGAGGCAAGAGCACCCTCCCTGTGGTGTGAACTTCCTGTTATTTAATCTCCCCACACTTTCATTTTGCTCTTCTGTTAGAAATTTCTAAGATGCTCCATGAAATGAGGAGATAATGTTTATGATAACATGCAGAAAGAGGTAAAATGTTCATTCCAAGTGGAAAATCTTATTGGACACATTTTAAATAAAACCATGCATACCTGCCACCCAGCCTCGAGGATCAATCAAGGTGGACTAGCCTTCCGCTGGGACTCCTCTGTCCTTCCTCTCTCTTCTTGTCTGTCTGACTGCCTGCCTGCCTGCCTTTATTTCTTCCCTCTTTAATGAATGCAGATGTGTTGCCTGTGTGGATGTCTGTGTACCACATGCATGCCTAGTGCCTTCAGAAACCATTAGAGGGCATTGAATCCCCTGGAACCAGATTCAACGGTGGTTATGAGCCATCATGTAGATGCTGAGAATCAAACTCAGGCCCCCTGGAAGATCATTCAGTGCTATTAACCACAGAGTCAACTCTCCAGCCCCAGTGGAAGTATTTCACCTTCATTTAAAGTGTTAATATTTCAGACACTGATGATATTAAAACACAGGTGTCAGGAGCAGCATCTTACAGGCAGAAAACACATCTTAGGAGGCCATACTCTTGCAAACACATGGCTGACTAAAATGGTTCCAGGAAGCTGACTAGAACCTACCAGAAAGCATGGCTGCATAACTGGCCATGCTCAAATTTTGCCACTTTGGTTTTCCAACTATGAAGGGAGAGCCAGCTTTTGCCTGATTCCATGCAGTTACTTGGGCAGTTTGGGCTTCTCCTTGTTCAAAGATGTTTAGGGACCCTGAAAAACTCATCTCAGGGGAGAGGGATTGGCTCTTCCCAGTGTGTCCGGAGGCCAATCAAATACACCCAGTATTGTCACTTTGCTTCTTATCACTTTTTCTTTTGAGACAGGGTCTTGTGGATTCTTTACTGGCTTCAACCTCATTACATAGGTGAGGCTAGCCTTTAACTCCTAATCTTCCTGCCTCCACTTCCAAGAACTAGAACTGTATGTGTGTATCACTTTGCCTGCTGTATTCCTAACTGGGACTTGGGCACAGCATCGTGGTTGCTAGGCAAGCACTCCACCCACTCAGCTACATCCCCATCCTTGCTTCCACTTTCCCGCCTTCCCCAGATACATAGAGCAGCTGCTGGGCTAAAATGGCAAGATATTAGGAGGGATCTGCTTGGTCGCGTTCCCTCCCCCAAAGCAATTGTGCCCCATAGAAACTAGATGGCAGTGCACATGCGGAATTCTCCATGCTGAATTCTGACTGGCCTTTTGTACCTGGGGCTGCTGGTTGTTATAACATCCCTTCAGCTCTGGACCATGAGGACTCTGGACACAAACTGTTCCTCGGATATCTAGGGAGCCAACCTCTAGATAATCTCTTATTCCAACAAGTGCTTTCAGGAGAAAAAAATGCGCCTGCACAGCTGAGTCGCTGCATTTTGTCCGCTGGCTGAATAAAGGGCTCTCCTCTCATTATTCCCGGGTGGGCTCTACCTGAAGCACACCCACGGGACTTGGCATCGCCCCACTGGCCCTGTGACTGCCAGCCTCCAAATGGGAAGGTGTGACCCTCTATTTTATTCCTTTTAGCACCTGGAGTTTGTTTTCACGGCATCTGTATTATTTTGTATGAATTTATGGAAAAAATCAATTATTTGCCTCAAGAAATGCAATTTTCAACTAGGGAGATGGTTCCCTCTTCTGTCTGCTATGCAAGCTGGAAGACCTCATCAGAGCCTCAATGCCCAAAGCCATGCATGGTAGTGTGTCTCTATAACTGCAGCCTAGGAGGGAGTGGGGGTGAGACAGGCAGATCTGCAAAGCTCATGGGCCAGCCAGTCTACCTGATTAGTCACTGAGCTAGGTTCACTGAGAGACTCTGTCCCAAAATAATAAGGAGAACATCAGTCAAGGACAGACACCAAACATCAGCCTCTGGACTTGACACACACACACAAAAAAAAAAGTTTTTAATTAAAAATTTTAAAATACTGAAATGGGTACATTTTCAAATTATAAAAGCAGATCATTGAAGGGACAAATATTGCTATGACTCTGTCAACCAGAAACCACCTTTTCAGTGTAGATGCACCTACTTCATGCTGAACACAACTGTTGTGTCCTGGTTGGGCTTCACTGTTCCCCTCATAAGGCCATGCCTGTTCTGGAGCCCAGTGTGAAAAGGAAGCTCACTCCAGGCCTAGCCTGGTCCAGAGATCTTACTTCCACAAATCTAGAGGATCTATCTCCCTTCAGGCAAAAAGAAGATGACTGGAGAGTGGGCTAAGACACTGACCATCTCCCCTTACCAGCCAGAAGTCAAATCAAGGCAGAGGTCACAAAGCCACAAGAACAAAACACACAGCCAAGTGAGCTTCCTCACAGTGCAGACCTCCTTCCCAGCAGAACATCCTGGGTACTGACCACAGCCCACAGATGAGTGCAGGAACCCCACACACTCTGCCACGTGACTTGGTAGAAGACGAAGAGTCACAGCATCCTAGCCCCACGTGAGCCCTCTGCTACTACACCCACCCTACCCCCTAGCTACGTATATGATATTCTCATGAGAGTCACATTCATAACTTCATCATTTTATGATACAAGCTTTACCTCCCAACTTCTCAGTTTCTATGTTCACACCATCTTTTAAAGCTGGATCTCACTGCTTTTAGATAAACAGGTCTATAAAACAGTGAAAAAGACCTTAGATTGCAAGAGAAAACGCCCATATATGCATACAATTCTGGTGTGTCCATTCACCTGCCTGAATCTGAGTTTTCTTTTTTTTTTAAGATTTATGTATTTATTATGTATCAAGTATTCTGCCTGCATGTACACCTGCACACCAGAAGAGGGCACCAGATCTTATTATTATAGATGATTGTGAGCCACCATGTGGTTACTGGGAATTGAACTCAGGACCTTTGGAAGAGCAGTCAGTGCTCTTAACCTCTGAGCTATCTCTCCAGCCCCTGAACCTGAGTTTTCGTAGATGCAATTTCTTAACTAGATTCATGTCACACTGACACAATGGTTGAAAGGAAAGCATTTTTGAGACCCAAAACCAGCGTGTGAGCTTGGCAGATTCATCTAACTGCATTGGTAAGTTATAGTGCAGTAACATGCTGTAAATAGAACATGATTAACATGTATAGTAATTAAATTGTAACTATTCTGCAATCCCATTCCTTCATTTACAGCCAGTCCTGTACATTAAGTCAGCCAGCTACAGCACCTCCTCATAGCATTGGTGTTCTCTTCTCATACAGGAGAAACAGGAGTTTGACAGACATCAATGAGGGTCACTCCTAGGAAAAGTCAGCACAAATCACATCACACAAGCTCCAGCAACTTGCCCAAGCCAGACATTTCCTCAACAGGAGATGTTCACTGAGCCAGTGAGGTTAATCAAGACTGTGGACCGTATCCTTATTGCCTCCGTGCTGGGTGCTGATAGCTCCCTGCTCTTCTCATATTCAAGAACTTTGACCATACCTCATCTCAGAGAGAGGGCACAACCCAACCCAACTGTCCAGCCTGGCATGGGAAGCTGCCCTGTGCATAGAAATTATATGTCAGCAATTTAACTGAGCCTTTCTGACAGTGTGAAGAATTACAGTGGAATTAGCTTTGTGGGGAAGTAGAACTCATATCCCAAATCTGTGAGTACAGTCATTGCATTTCCTTGATGCACTCCACAGAGAAGGCATCGAGGCCAGAGAATCAATGGCTTGGCCAAAGTCAACTGGTCAAAGCTGAGGCTGTCCTGCTGTGGCTTTCTGCCACTCCGCAGTGCTTCTCATGAGACCACTAGATAGTTCACATAGGCACACACAAGCACATCCTTTTCTCCTGACGGTACACCAGTACAGTCACCGGTCCTCCCTGGTGTCTGGGAAATGCCAGGGTAATCTGCTCCACTCCGAAGCACTAGGGTACATGGGTAGAGTTTCCACTACTGTAGCTTTAGGAAGATGCAGTGATGGGCTTGTAACCACAGTCTGTCCTTTCTTCCTTTCCTCCCTCCCTTCCTTTCCTTCTTCCCTCCTTCCTACCCTCCTTTCTTTCCTTCCTTCTTTCTTTCCTTCCTTCCTTCTTTCCTTCCTTCCTTCTTTTCTGCCTTCCTTCCCTCCTTCCTACCCTTCCTTCCTTTCCTTTCCTTCCTTTCGTCCCTTCCTCCCTCCTTCCCTCCCTTCTTTCCTTTCCTTCCTTCTTTCCCTTTCTTCCCCCTCCCTCTCTCCCTCCCTCCCTGCCTGCCTGCCTTCCTTATTTACTTACTTATTTTTCCTATGTTCTGCCTCACTTACTGTTTTTTTACAGCCTTTGGTTCATACAATGTTAAGTATCATTAAACCCTAGGTCCCATCAGACCCACAGCATGTGGCCAATGAACTAGAAAAGCCAAAAAGTGATGACATTTGGGAAAGCAGTGAGTAAGGTCAGCTTGCTTCTTGAACAAACATGGGAGCTATTGTGCTAGTAAAAAGAGATGAAATCAGACCCTTCAAAGAGAGTGCAGATCCAAGAAGAAACAAGATTGTAGCAATCCAGACAAAAGCAGAATGGTCTGAAGGGTTGTGCTGGGTAGTTTTATGTCAACTTGAGGTAAGCTAAAGTCGTCTGAGAGGAGGGAACCTCAATTTTAAAATGTCTCCGTAAGATCAGGCTGTACGGAACAAAGCCTGTAAGACATTTTCCTAATTAGTGATTGATAAGAGAAGGCCAAGTCCATTTCAGGTGGTGCCATGGGGGCGCGGGGGGGGGGTGTCCTGGGTTCTATAAGAAAGCAGGCTGAGAAAGCCATGAGGAGCAAGCCAGGAAGCAGCACCCCTCCATGGCCTCTGCATCAGCTCCTGCCTCCTGGTTCCTGCCCAGCTCGAGTTCCTGTCCTGACTTCCTTTGGTGATGAACAGCAATGTGGAAGTGTAAGCCAAATAAACCCTTTCCTCCCCATCTTGCTTCTTGGTCATGGTGTTTCATCACAGCAGTAGACCCTAACTAGGATAGGATAATGTCAAGCATAGTGTTGTCCTCTTGGGTCTCTGAGGACATACAGTTAGAGGGAGAGTCCTCTGCCACTTCCCCTGCAGAGGTAGGGTGGCCATGCTTGGTAGACCTGCAGCCATGTTTGTTTCTCTAGCTCTTAGGCAATGGCTGGTGATGACATGAGCTTGGCTGAGG